TACCGTTTTTCGGTACCCAGAAGAGTACGGGTCTTGGAACCACCCCCTAGACCCTCAAACCTACCAACAAATTGCCCTCCAAGGAGCAGGTGCCGCACAAGCATCCCAACAAGGAGCCGACCTCTCACTTGACATGTTCCCTTCTGGCGCGGGGAGTGTTGGTGCTGGTACAAGCCATGAATGCACTTGTGGCCCCGGCTGTCAATGCGTCGGATGTCTCGCACATCCTTACAACTCCCAAACCATTCAGTACGTCCAGGACGCTTACAGTAACTACAACATTGCTAGTCCTACTGGTCACTGCCATCGCGGTAGTCTCGACTTTGCTGCCACGACTGGAGTTAACCAGCAGCAGCAACAATATCAAATCGGCAGTCCTAGTCTTTGTCCTAGAAACGGCCAACAACAGCAACTACCACCCGACTCACCAGTTGACGCCCAAACGCCTAGCGACGCATCAGGGACCCCCGGTGATGAGCAGTACCTCTCACAAGCTGACTTTCTGTGGGCGACCATCCCGATACCGAATTGTGCCGGCGAGCCGCTATCTTGTCCGTGTGGAGATGATTGGTGCCTGTTTTGGGTGTATTAATCCACGGAAACGACCAACACGGTAGCCAGCTTTGGCTGGCATCGGAGACGGGTTGGAGCAACAACAAGTGTATGACATGGGCCAATATCAACAAAACCAGCAGGTGCAAGGCCACAGTCGGAGTCAAAGTCAGGGTCACGTGGGTCTGGTTCTCGTGCCGGATGGATTACCACAGGGAATGATGACTAGTGGCCCTCCTTCGAGTGTGATTCCCATCGCTCACCGGGGAGGCATGGGAGACATGAGCGGTTTGAACACTCTTGACGGCGGCGGCATGAGCAGTGATCTGAACAGCGCAATGTCTAGTCCACGTACGCCTCAAACGCCCCGCGGTATTGACGGCATCCTCAGGGCTGCTGCCACTAACGGCGATGGTGTTGGTGGTGGTGGTGGCGGCGGCGGCGGCGGAAGTTGCTGCGGCGGTAGAGGAAGTGGTAGAGTCAGAGGCACAGAATTGTCCGTCCCTTAGGAGGCGGTGACTGCATATCTTCGTCCCCTGATGGCGATGAGAGCCGAGGGACAGTCCGTACGGCCAGTAACGGGAAAGAGAATACACAAGAGGAAAGAGATGAGGAAATGGATGAGGGCTGGGCTGGGAGATGAACAAGCACCTGTTGGGAGTCAACACATGATTCCCAACAATCGATTCGACAGGATAGTGAACGAAAGGAAGAGAAGGACGGTAAACATGGGCTGGTGCAACCGTATATATACCCATAACTGCTAGGCGGAAGGATAAGGCTGGCAGCAACATAGCGAATACAAAGGGGCCTTGATGGCATTTCTCCTATCGCAATCTTTGGTGAAACGGACGACGATCAGCTCATTGAGGGCATTAATTCCTGTTGGGATCGTCTGCTCTAAGCATTGGCGACAGGGGACTTGATTGATAAGTGCGACTCTGAGGCAGGAGCGGCGTAGGAGTGGACTGACTACCGCTTGAGGAAGTTTGTTGGAGTTGATCAGCGTGCTTTTGAGCATAAAACAGCTCACCAGACTACCTAGACCTAAGTGCTCAGTAATTTCTCGTGAACCCACGTGAACATGGACATGAGGCACGGCCAGCAGTCACGGTAGATATCAGCTCACCATGACAGTTTGCAACTTCCATCACGCTCAGCCCATCATTCATTTGTCACATGCACGCTCTTCCTTCTTCCCTTTTGTCTGACATAAGAGGTTATTCAGTTACCGAATGGACGGAGTTGGGGAACAGGCAGTCAGTCTCCTAACCACACTGCTTCCCCAACGGGTACACTGTCATCAAAAGTTCATTACAGTAGATATCAGGACCTGCAATAGTATGTATGTACAATCAAGCTTAGCTAGGAAAGAAAAACGACAAGAAAAAGAAGGAAAAAGAATGGGGAAAAGAAAATCAAGGCGGTGCCCAAAACGCCTGAAAACATTAACAATGATAATTTCGTTTTAAAAAAAAAAACACATCCAATCCCGGAAACATCGATCGTTCATCCAAGCAGTGACCTTTATTCCAGCGATTTTGACCGTTCAAGAAAGAAATCTCCATTACATCGCCCCTCTTGTGTACGAAACTTTCCGACACAGTTTCCCCCCTTTCCAGATTGAATGTGATTTGATCTCAAATCACAGACCGCTCTCATCCACCTCTTTCTTTATCTCATCCCATCCCATTCCATCCCATCCCATCCCGCAACTCCTATCATGTTTCTCATCTCACCCTCCCACCTCAGCTTCCATCCAAGCTTCCATCCCAGCCTCTTTACCTCCATTTCCCACAGTCACGTCGACCCCCGTGACCCCCTTGAATTCCTCGACCCCTGTCTCTGCGGCTGCGGCTGCGGCTGCGGCTGCGTCTGTGGTTCACATCCCGTCTCATACCGCTGATAAGGCGGCAGCGCAGTCGACACGGAACTCACATCCGACATGGATATTGAATATCGGTCTGGTGATGGTGGTTCGTTTCCCGCCCTTCCTGAAGATGTTCCGTCGTAGCGAAGTTCGAGGTTGAGACCACCGGTTGAAGCGGGGGCGTAGTTGGGGTTTATATTTCGGGGCGTTGGGGTGGTGCTGTTGGATCGCATGCTGGGGTACCCGAAGTCGGTTCCAGGGCCGGATCCGGGGAGGGGTGGGAGTGGTGGGAGGGATGATTGTTGGTTTGGAAAGGAGTGGTTGGAGGGATGTTGAAGGAGACTGGACTGTCGTTGGACGAGTGGGTATTGTTGTTGTTGTTGTTGTTGTTGTGAGTTCATGTTGTCGTTTGAGCCGTCTGCTGCTAGGGATAGGTAATCGGTTTTCCCCTCACCACCGCCGCCACCACTAGAGGGAGGTGAGATCCCTTGTGGTTGTGGTATATGTAGCGATAGTTGTTGAGGTTGTTGTTGACTCAACGATCGTTGAATTCCAGGATATTGCACGCCATCAGCCGCTCCATCAGAGGCCAAAGCCAGGTAATCGCCTTTCACGGGGGTTGGTGAGGTTCCCCCTTGCGGTAGTAGAGGTACGTTTCGCGGGAAGTCATAGAGCTGGTGGTATGATGGTTGCTGTTGGCTGTGAGGAATGTGTTGCTGGTTCGGTCGATATTGTGGTCCATCTGTTAATAACGCAACTTCGGGGTTTAACACATCGTTCTCGGCCAAGGGCGGTAACGTCCCCCCTGTTAGATTTCGTTGATGGCGAGATGGTTGATATTGCTGGTGCGATTGGTATTGTTGGTGTGGAATATTGTTGTTGTGTGACTGATGAGCACCTTGACGGTATTGCGGTCCATCGGCTACCAGTGCCGCCTCAATGTCTACCTCTGCCTCGTCTATAGGAGACACTGGTGCGAAAGTTGAGTTTGCTCCGCCTGGTCGGCTGGTGTTGTTGCTGCTGACGGTGCTCACTGATAGTTGGCGAGATGGTATTGATGGCATGTTCTGGTTCTGGCTAAATGCTCTTCGTGGCGGAATTGCGCTGGACTGGGATTGGATTGCCCCGGACCCATATGGCCCATTTCCTCCGGTAGCCGTCGAGGACGTCATTGCTGTCACGTTACTACGGATCGAAGCGGTGCGGGTGATGACACCCTCACTTGACGGTCCTGATCGGTCGGGGTGTTGTTGTGGTCTCGGGGCTTCGATGACTGGCGATGAGGTGGTGTTGTCGCTGAGTTTCGATTCCATGGTGTCGGCTCGCTCGAGAGAGTTAAGAACTTCAATGCACTTAGAATTTTTGGTATAGTTTCTTTCGAAGATCCGTAGGACGGTTAGGATGACGGTGGCGATGTAAGTGAACCTACAAGCTGTTAGTTATTACGGTCCGGTACGAAGGGCAGCGTGATGAAAGACATCAGGAACTTACACAAGCCCAAGAGCAATAGCATAATACGACCGTTCAAATGCACAAAACCTGTCGAGTTCACCCTTTTGTCCATCATAGCCGGAGGTAAATCCAGGTGTGGTAAAACCCGGTCGAGGTTTGTACACCTTGTGATCATCATCCCCTTTCTTGGTGGTAGTCAATCCACCACAGTGAGAAGGAAGTCCAGCATTTGCAAGAAGGGTGATGATTGCTAGATCAACCCCACAAAAGATGATGTCGCCCATGACGAAAGTGATAAGCCAACCCGTCTTCTTGGATCGTTGGCCGCTATGCTGGATGAAGACGGCGAGTGTAGCATAGACAAGGGTCATACAGATCTATCCGTGATGGTATGTATGTTAGCTGACGTGTTCTCGGCGATACATGGGAAAACAAGCACTGAGGCTTACCAACAACTCCGGGATGAGCATGCTTTTAGTCAGTCCAAGGTGGCCGTTCCTGTAGACAGTCGCAGTGACAAAGCCGTTCATCGTCGCTCCTACCAGAGCGGCGGCGATCTGGAACGCCCGCATGACCACGAGCCATGATGAAAGCTCCCACGCCATTGCTGCTGGCTAGGCTCGCAATGACGAAGCCTGATGTGATACGAGTAAGTAAGTGTGTTTGGGTAGAGCCGCTTATCCAACAGCCAAGCATTCGAATGATCAAAAGACAAGAAAGAAGCAGATATTATGCGGAAGGCCAAATGGTTTTGTAAGATGCTTGAGACCATCAAGGTTCTTGACTATACCATGTGAGGTTTGAGATGAGGGACAGGACTAAGATCGAAGATAATTCCGGCACTTGAGGAAAGGATGTGTGTGGGGGAGTCCAGACTGGTGATACTTGACAGCTGAAGGGAACTGCCCCGGTAAGATGAATGGACTGATGGAGGCTGTGTTTCCCTGTGCCCCCAATGTCAAGAGGTCCTGTCCCATTCGAGACAAAGAGGCCATGCTGACTGGTCTACATCGTACAGCCCAACGGCAGTGGACTACCACAAAACGGGAACTGCTTGTAGATGTAGGGCTCCTCAAGTTCCATCTGCGGCGCGCCAACGGGGCAAGTGATGGAGAGGTCCGGGCAACGTGAAGAGCCGAGTGGACAGAACCGAGTAAGATGGACCTTTTGTGGTGTAGTACAGACCCTTGGTTGCACCTCCTCAAGCATGTCCATCGCTGCCGTGTTTGTGTTCGTAGAAAGAGGTGATGTTGGTGGTAAGCTCGAGAGGGCTGCATGTTGTGTCACTTTCGGGAGTTTCCTTCTCGACAATCCCACATGAAACAAGCTAGTTTCCAAAGGAAGCTTTTCTGGATAATGAGTGCTGGGAAATCCACAAGCTATGATTAGATGAGTGCGTGATGAATGCTGAAAGAAGAGGAACATATAAGAGGAGGCCGCGTCATCCTCAGAAGCCAAGTGGGAGAAGTGGCAGGCATTCCCAAGTGCTAAAGCCGCTGGCGATGGTGGGCACAGCCCCTTTTTAGTGGGTGGCAGGGGTTGATCACCACGTCTCGATAGGGCAAGCGGTGCCTGACGGACGGGCAGTGATGGTCGACGGCTGGCAGGACAAACAGTCATGATGCTAATTCCAATGTCACCTCAGCCAGGCAGCAAAGACCTGGAAGAGACAAATTTCCCTTGCCCATCTGTGAATGCCCTCTTACCTAATATGTGCTTGTCTCACTGGCTTCATGAGCCTCATTTCTTGTCCTGGTCTGATTCGTGATCCAATGTCCATCAACATCCTTCAATCATGACTGAAGACTCGATATTAGAGGAGTGGACTTGGAACAACCTCCGGTTGCCCGTGTCAGCCCTCTTCCTACGCTTTTGGCAATGCGGCTCATCCTTCCACGTCGCGAATCTTCTGATCCTTTTGAATGATCACATTTCGGAACCTGCTGGAACCAGACTCCTCCAGCGGCTGGTACGAGTGCTTCTGAGTATCGCATGTATCGTCTTGTTCACTTCATTGGTGTAGGCAGCCATCACCTTGTCATATCATGCCGAAGTAATCGGCTTTGCGGCTCTGAACTTCATCTATAAATGGGTCAAGAAGGGATCAGTAGCATGGCGTATCTTGCTTTCCATCACCGTCGTCGGCGATCTTTTTGTGATAGGCCTTGCCATAGCTCTTATCACGCAGCTCAGCGCTACGGGGCCGCCGTCTGCATGCCTTAGCTCATATGAGGGTTTCACTTGTGGGTGCTATTCGAGCGTCGTAGGGTGTAGGTTACTGATGTTTTCCAGTTCACGACTTGCTCCAGCTTGGCCAGACCTATATCCGTAAAGTCTTGGGAACCGAAGCCGATCAACATGACCAGATGCCGAACTTTGTATGTGGTTTGCCGAATGCCCTTAACATCTTGGCTATCACCACCATCTTTTCGCACACCTTCTCGCTTGTCTTGACAGGATTGCAAGTACAACGCGGACTCATGGACCCGTCGTCAAAAAGTCACCAAGAACGAATAACCGGGAGGGAAAGAACTGGTCCAAGCTGGGTTGCCTTTGGGCAGGCTGGCCGCCAATATGGGTATCATTGTCTAGATCGTATGTGAATGATGTCGAATCTTCCAGCACCGTTTTTTGTCATGCTCTCATGTTCCGCTCAGATTGAAGGTCGAGCTCATGCGTCCGCCTTGGCCATGGCCGCCGCCTTCTCCTCCTCCGTGGGCCAGCGTACAGTCCAGCCGGTGACAGTCTTGCGAATCTCCTCATCACCGGGGTCGTTCTCGAACAGAGGCTTCTCGGTCTTGATTTCAAGGAACTTGTCCACAATGAAGCCCCTCTCGCGGGCCAGATCGAAGAAGGCCAAGTCCTTGTGCTGGAGCCATGGGCGGTACGAAGTGAAGACGACGAAGGCCTTGCTGCCGGGCTTCTTCTTCAGGGTGAACTGGATGGTGTCGACCAGCTTGCTGTGCTCCGAGTGACGGAAAAGAAGATCGGCCAAGATCAGAACATCGAACCCGACTTCTCCCTCCTTCTGTTCACCCAGGTGGGCGAGCAACGGCTCCTTCTTAGCGCCCCAGACGTAGCCGTCAGCGACAATGTTGCGATCCTCCTCGCGGTCAACAGCCAACATAGGGCAACTGCGGATGTTCTTCCACATAACCGCCACAATGTCCGGATCCGGGAAGTCAGTCACGACAACCTTCTTGGCCCCAAGCACGGCAGAAACCAAGCTAGGCAGGCCGGCAGCGGCGCCAATCTCAAGGACAGTCCGGCCCTTGACCTCCTCGGGGTGTTCTTCAAAGTACTGTGAGATGATGACAGCTCCGTTCCATAGGGTGTGGGCCTCGAGAGGGCTGTGACCGACAAGATGAAGAGTGATATCGCTGCCGTCCTTCATGGTGTAGTGCTCAGTAGTCGGAGGAGGGGAAGGAGGGTAGAAGTCAGGGGGGTCCTCGAAGAGCCCGCCGGCCTCGATATCAGAGCCCTCATCCTCGGAGACCTGGTTGACGATATCCTCAGGTTTCGACATGGTGGATGAAAATTTCGAATTTGCTGAAAATTTTTCCGAGTTGACACTGCTGCAAAGGCTTGACTGCAATATGCAGTAGAAGGCCGAATTTGAGTTTGTTGCAGTGAGTGATGCACACCTGAAAACTTTGAAGGACAGCACTGCAGGCAGTTGTGAAGATGAAAATAACACCCAAAACGCTGAAACCCACCGTAAGATTCACGGTCATGTGATCTGCTGGTCAACTTGGGAGTTGGAACTCAACGTGACCTCATTTTGGCTTCAAATCGATTACTTGTCTCTTTCTCAATGACAACTGAAAGAGAAATATCATTTCTCCACGTGTGAATAGAATTGTCGTTGTGCGAAACATTATCCAACGCTCTTGCTCAGCGCTTTGAGTAAAACGGTACCTAGGTACGGAAACGGAATGCCATAGCAGAACGGTGCATTGGCTCGGAACGTTTGGGCGCTGCATCCCTGACGTTCCATGCTCTTCCGTTTTGCTGGGATATCAACCAAGCTGCATCCAGCTCAACTTTGCAGACTTCCAACTTCACATCATTTTCAACATTTCACAAATTTGGTCCTTTTCTTCCGGATTTTACATTTCTGATGAACCAGAAGCTGGATTAGTTGGCCCATTCCAATATCATCGCCGTTTCATCACATCGAGCCGTTGGCCACTCCTTTCACACCTGGAGATCAGTAAGTGGGACTCACCTTAATACAACGACTTACCGCTTCAGACAACGAAATATTCAACAAAACTTGACCAAGAGCTTTCAGGAAGGATTCAAAGATATTATACTGGAGATTCAGGAGAAAATTCAGATTCCCAAGACATACGCCGATCAGAGCAAGCTATGGGTTCAAACGCCGAAGGCCACCGCTACAGGTCGCGGTCACCTCTCCCTGGTGGCTCAAGATCTACACATCACGACAGGAGAAGGTCAAGATCGAGGTCAGAAAGGGTCGATGACAGGCGGGAACGCAGACATGGAGAGGGGCGTGAAAGACATTGGGATCGGTCAAGAAGTCGAGACCGGGAAAGGGACAGAGACAGGGATCGCCACCGGCGGCGACGTGAGGACAGAGATCGTTCCGCAGACCGCAAGAAGAGAGAAGAAGGCTCTCATCACAGACACCATCACCGATCAGACCGTCACAGATCCTCCCGCTCCCCTTCCCAAACTCACTCCCACTCTGGCGACAAAAAGGCCATCCGTCATCACCGCCACCACTCCCACTCCCACGAAAAAGCCAAGGATGAAGCACCCAAGCCCCTCCCCTTCAACTCCCGCCAGCTCTCACGCTCCGATTACGCCAACTTTGAACCTCTTTTTGCCCACTACCTCGACATTCAAAAGCAGCTCTTCATCGACGATCTGGACGACCATGAGCTACGCGGCAGATGGAAAAGCTTCGTCAAGAAGTGGAACCGCGGCGAATTAGCAGAGGGATGGTATGATCCCGAGCAATTCGCCAGTTTGTCAAAGGATGCGGCAGCAGAGGGAAGGGTACCTCGTTCCATTACCGAAACAACCACTGGCAGAGACAAAGACAGGAAAGAGAGGGGCGTGTCAACCATGTCCGAGGGCGACGGCCTCGAATCAACAGCAAGACCATCCATCGAGAAAACCGACACCCCGATGGCCATGGCCGACACCAACCCGCCCATCACCTCCAAAAACTCTGATGCCGATTCAGAAGAAGACTCCGACTACGGCCCCACCCTCCCCGGCCAGTCCTCCTCATCCTCCCGCACTCACGCCCAAGGCCCCACCATCCCCTCCCTGACCGACCTTACCCTCCACCGCGAGACCCTCGCCGAAGAACGACATTCCCAGCGCGCCTCCTCCTTCGAAGCTCTCCGCGCCCAGCGCAAAGCCGACCGCGCCCTACAAAAGGCCCGACTCGAAGACCTGGTCCCTCGCGCCGACGCAGGTACGCGCGAGCGGCGACTTGAGAAACGCAAAGAACTGAACGAGAAACTCAAGAGCTTCCGGGAACCGTCACCGGGCGGGGAGGTGGCGGAGAGTGAACTGATGGGTGAAGGGGATGGCGGCGGACTGGAGGAGTATAAGAAGATGATGAAACGGGAGGAGGTGAAGAAGACAGAGAGGCAGTTGAGGAGGGAGGAAATGGAGAGGGCGAAGGCGGCGGAGCGGGAAGAGAGGATTCGGGAGGCGAAGGAGAGGGAGGATAAGGTTATGGAGGGGTTGAAGGCGTTGGCTAAGGCTAGGTTTGGGTAGAGCTGTACCTCTAGGTATGCGGATTGGGTTCTGGAGAAGAGGGTGGACTGGTTCTTTCTTGGTAGATGGGGAAGTGCGTAGGTCTTGCTTCCTTCTTGTTCTGATGATATAAAACAACAAAAGCGAGGCGTACGATAGCTATACTATTGCTTTGGGTATGTTGTCGCTTTATGGAAGTTCGTTATCTCACGAGATAGAAAAAAGATGAATAACATCAATGGACTGATAAGCGGGTGACCTGTAAGGTATTGTGTTCCTCCTCCTTCCATGTGATTTCACAGTGTGCTGTGTTTGATGAGTGTGGCTAGTTTTGGACTTTTGTGAGAAGGACATCATGTCTTTTCAATCCCGTAAGTCCATTCATCTAAGGGTACCTAGAGGTATCTATACCAGTCTTGAGCCACCTTGTTCCTGCTAGAGGTAAACAATGACATGACACCTCGCAACCCAAATCGTCCATAAACATAAACCTAACCATAACATAACATCATATAACCTCCCCGTATACCCGTAACAAGTCCCGAAGCGAATACCCAGACTCATATCATCCATCCATCCATCGTGAATCATACAATATCGTAACTCATGATAGCAACACATAACTAAGCAAATGAACGAGGGCCCCGCTCTCTATCCATTCCTGACGTTTACCACCTCCGTCCGAAAACCTCATGCTCCCTCCTCGCCCCCGTATTAGCCCCCGCACCAGCAGCAGGCGCCCTCCTAGCCGGAGCCGGCGTCCTACCCGCAGCAGAAGCGAACTCATTCTCCTGAGCATGGAACCTACTACCAGCACCGCCATTAGCACCACCAGCACCACCACCATCATGCCTAAACAGATCCAAAATCTCCTGCAATCCCAATTTCAGTCCCTGGCCCTTCTTCTTCCCCCCCTCAGTCGACCCCTCCACTGCCGCCTGCGCCAACAACCTCTTCTTCTCCTGCAACTCCAGAATCCTCGCCTCCACGGTGCCCCTCACCGTCAACTTGTAGACAACAACATCAACCGTCTGCGTCAAACGATGCACGCGATCAATAGCCTGCTCTTCGACAAAGGGATTCCAGAAGGGCTCGACGATGATCACCCGCGTGGCGGCCGTCAGGTTCAGCCCCAAAGAGCCGCACTTGAGCGAGCACAGCAGCACGCGAGTGCGCGGGTCTTTGCGCAGGGAATGGAGAGAGGCTTCGCGCGCGTCGTTGGGCATTTTACCATCGTACCGGACGTGCTTAATGTCCGGTAAATGGTGGCGAAGGAAGGGCTCGACGAGGTCGAGCATCGAGGTGAACTGGGAGAAGACGATGAACTTGTGGGTGGGGGCTTCGCGGCGGAGGATGGCGATGAGCTCGTGTATCTTGGAGGAGATGGTTACCGGGGCCTTGGTGCGCTTAACGCCGTATTCGGCTTCGGAGTCGGTTTCTGAGTCGGAGTCGAGTTCCGATCCGGAGATGTCGGACTCTTCAGTAGCAGTGGCTTCCTCTTCGGATTCTGATTGTTTGAGGACTTGTGAGCTGAGCTTGGAGACAGAGGCAAAGGTATCGTCTTCGTCGCCGGAGCCGACAATTTCGTCCGAGTCGACGCTCTCGTCGTCGTCCGAGTCGTCATCATCACTATCTTTCACGACAAAGCTGTCTTGTTCCGGGTCCTCCGAGTCCTCGGAGATCTCTTCGTTGGAGTTGATATCCTCACCAGTTCCCTCGGCGTTCTCGTCGTCTGTGCCTCCGGCAACACCAAGATCTACTGCGCTCCTCTGAGACTCGCCAACCAACCAAGTGCCTTCATCCTCCTCATCGTCACTATCGACAACGCGCTTCCTGTTATCGCGAGATTTCTTGCCCTTCTTGGGCGTCTCATCCTCATCCCCCTCCTCTTCTTCCTCGTCGTCACTATCCACTACAACCTTCCTTCCTCTCCCTCTAGTCTTCCTCAGCTCAACCTTGACCTTCTCCTTCACGACACTCACCTTCTTCTTCTTATGCTTCTTGCTGCTTCTCTTACTTTCGACACTCTTCTGCGTACTCTGCTGCTCCTTCATCAACTGGCTCAAACTGTCCTCACACCCTTGACACCTCAACTGCCCCTCCTGAATTTCCTTCTTCGTCATCTCCCCCAGACACATATCACACTGTCTGGCCTGGATACCCATCCCGCCCATCATATCCGCCAAGTCATCCACACTACTGGCCTGACTCTGCGAATCATAAACAGCCTTCTTTTTGCCACCAGGCGTCGGCGCAGTCGCCGAATCCACTGATAGCGCGTCCCGGTCCTTGTCAAGCTTCGTCTGCGCCAGCCTAGGGTGGTTACAAGCTTGTCTCAGCCGCAACAGCAGCACGAGCGCGTTGGCATAGTTGACCGTGCGACCCTTCATCATCTTCTCGAGACTTTGGTCGGCTCGCTCCTCCAAGGCCCTTGTAGAAGGCGCTTTCAGCGGGGCTGAACTCCGTCTCGATGGTGACGACCTTGCGTTCTGTAACCTTGAAAGCGGCTTCAGGCGCCTTTTCGCCCTTCTCTTCTGCCTTGGCGAGGGCTTCCTTGCCGCCGGCAACGAGGGCGCCCTTTTCGGTGAGGACTTCCTTGGTGCGACGCTTCATGAAGCAGCGGAGGATGCTGTGCAGGCGTTGTATGGCGATGTGGCCTTTGCCTTGCTTCATGGGCGCGTCGATCTGGGCTCGCCATTCGGCTAGGTTATCGTAAGGTGCGATACGTAGGAAGTGGATGAGGGATTGTAGCTCGTCGAGGTTGTTTTGCATTGGTGTGCCGGTCAGACACCAGCGGTATTCGGAGCGCAAGGCACAGCATGCTTTGGCAGCTTTGGTGTTGCGGTTTTTGATGCTGCGGTATCATGTGTTAGCCTCTATGAAGTTTTGCGTTAATTCTACTTTCAGGGCTTACCTGTGGGCCTCATCTAGAATAACGCGGAACCAGTGTACGCCAAAACAACCTGCTTGCGCGCCCTTGTTCAGATCGGGATGAGACTTGTCGAACTCTGACACGAGGATTTGGTAGGTGGTGATGACAACATCATATTTGGCGAGCTCAGAAGGAATCGTGGAGCGCTTTGGGCCGTGATGAACGCATACTTTGATGTTTAAGTCGGGCATGACGCGATCCTTCAGTTCAGCCTCCCATTGCCGGATGAGAGCCAGCGGTGCAACAACCAAAGTGGCTTTGCTGATGTCCTTGAAGTGAGTTTTCCAGCCTGGAGCAGAGGACGAAGCGGGTTTTCGGTTGCCGATGATCAAGGAAATAGACTGCAATGTCTTGCCCAAACCTGTAAGGAATCAGCATAGAGTCAAACCCAAATAAAGAAATATTGTACAAACCCATGTCATCCGCCAGCAGACCACCCTTGGGAACGCGACCACGCTTCAGGGGCCCAAGCTCGCGGTTAATCATCCACCTGACACCCCCAACCTGATGCGGCAGCAAAGAGACAGCAAGGCCAGGCATATGTCCAGTCGAAGAAACAATCGACTCCTCCTTCTTCTTGGACTCCGAAACTGCACTCTTCGCCTTCGTTTTGGTCCCTTCATCCTCACTCTCCTCATCATCTTCTAGTCCGCCCTCCAACAACGCCTTCAAATCCTCCTTGGCCTTGTCAGGATCGGTATAAAACACATTCTCCCCAAACGCCGCCGCCGTCCCCCTCGAAGCCGTACCCCTACCCGGCTGCAAAGGCGACGGTGCTGCTGCTGCTGCTGCCGGCGGATCCACATCCAACGAGCTAAACAGCTGCATGCCCATGCTGTTCCTCTTGATTTCCCCCGTCTTCGGCTTCGTCGTAGATGGGGCATTGGCCTTGAGAGGTCCGCTAGATCTGTACAAGTCCTTATGGAACTCGGGTCGGTTCTTGCCCCGGTCGTTGAAGAGGTTGTTGTATTTGGACCCGCCGATGGCGTGGCTGCTGGCGCCGACGCGGCCGCTGGGACCGAGACCGCCGTTGCCGTGGGGGGACGGGTTCAAGGCATGCTTATGCTCGCTTCCACCCCTTCGATTAGCAGTAGCAGCAGCGTTCTTAGCGTTGTTATTGTTGTTATTGTTGTTGTTGTTGTTGTTGTTGTTGTTGTTGTTGCCGGTGTTAACAGGCGTGAACTGAGAGACGAGTTGTGTAGGCTGGCCGAATTTGGGGATGGGTGTGGAGGCGTGATCCTGGCCTGGGCCGTGGCCGTGGACGGTCATGCCTCCAAGGGGAACCTGTTGAGGCTTTCCGGAAAAAGGATGGCTTGGTGTAGTCGGGCTGCTAGCCGTCAAGTCAACAACACCTGGGCCTCGGCTGAAGACGCGGGGTGAGGACGTGTTGTTGTTCTTGTTCTTGGTCTTGGGCGTGCCATTGCTGCCTCTGCTGCTGGCAAAGGAGAGGTCTTGTTGTGAGGATGACATGCCAATACTGTCGTCCGTGACCTGGGAGTTGATGAAATTGAGATCTTGGTCGCTGAACGAGTCGTCGACAGGGGACTCTAAACGTTGGCGGCGGGAGGCCATGGTGGGCAAGGTGGTCTTTCCCTAGATGTGAAGGTAGGTATGCTTGAATGGTGTGAGGCTATCGCTTGCGCCTTCTGCAAGGCACTTGAACTGTTTGCTTGTTTGGTCGGGAGCTACCCGCTTTTCGAGATGTCGCCGCTTTCTGTAAATGTATGCCTCATGGGCAGGTCCAGCCAGGGCAGGTGAAGAGGTGACTGAGCAGGTTCGATGGGAGTGTGAGTTTCCAAGTTTTCCAACCTAACATTCAAGATTGTCCCGTGACTGTTTGCTTTGTTGTCTAACTGGGCTTCCAGGAATTTCGGCAACGAGGGAAAAGAGTTGTTTTGGGATTCTTGCTCGGATATTCTTATGTACACGGAATGTTTGCCAGTTGGCATTCCTCAGTCATCAACAACTTTGAAATATCACTTTTTGAAGGGCGGGGTTGAAAGCTACTGCCGTCGCGTGTTGAAAGCTTGTTGGACGCGAGTATTTACAAAGTGACGAATCTGGATTCGGAAATGGCATCCCAGCAACCGGCAGAGGGGGGGCTTTTACCCCGCCCCCGCAGTGAGCTTTCACCGGCAACTTCACGGTGTGAATGGCACACATAACCCCAACCCTGAATCCTTTCTTAGTTGAAAAGAAGGACATGTTGAACAACACCCTTATACCATTGCCAGTATAACACGATTGGAACAAGTAAACATCATGCAAGTCTATACACGCTTTTATCTTCCCCTCTAACAGATGCCATTTAAATCCTGTATCTCACACTCAAATAACCATCCTCTCCACGCCCCCTTCCAACCCCGTCGTCAGAGTCCTCCCCTTCTCATCCTCATCCTCCAACAACACCCCAAAATCAATCGTAGTCTGATACTTCAGGTCCAACCGATGATGTTCCCTCTTCACACCCGTCGGCAGCTTCACGCCCTCCTGCCACTGTCCCCACACCTGCTTCTGTGTCGTAGCCGACCCATCTCTATTTCTACCATTATTCGTCCCCCATCCATTTCCGTTCCGGCCTAAACCTAGGTTGCCCTGGTTGCCTCCTCCATGTCCCTGCATCTGCCCAAATCCTCCTCGTCCTCCATGTCCTCCCCTTGACATTGCAGCAGCTCGTTCTCTGTCAGCCCTCGGCGCCGTGGGAGGAACCCTCCCGAACGGAGATCCAGGATTGGCAAAAGCCGAGGAAGGCTCGAAGGGACCCATCATCCTCGGCATGCGAATTGACCTATCATTGGCTTCCACTGACTTTCCATCGCCCGTTTCCATAAGCGAGTACTTGATCGGAGCGGTGGTGTACAACGCTTCCGCTGCGCCTTGGTTTGTCTGCCCTTGGGTTTGGTTCCTCCAGGAATTAGGAGAGAAGGTGGAGTGGGATTGCGCCGGGTGACCCGTGACTGGCAATGGCCCGGTGAAGTACGGGTAGTTGTAACCGTAGATCGGGTCAATTTCTACCGGTCTCGAAGGGTTAGAGGGGGTTGGTTGGAGGTTGGCTTCGATAACACCACCGGAAACGCCAATGTAGAAGTTCGGAGCTGAGTCAGAAGCTTTGGCGAGGGACCAGGCGCGCGTGAAGCCATGCTGGTTGTTGCGGTCGTGTTCGTGGCCGGGGACGCCGCGCGGGAGGAAGATGGTTGCGTTGGGTCGGTAGTAGAGGTGTTTGGAGAGGGAGTGCCAGTGGCATTCTAAACCTGCTAGATGATCGCATCTTGCACGGCCGGTGGGAGAGGCGTTAGGTGGTTTGGCGAACGGCTGATGAGGTTTGGGAAACGGCTGGCGACCTAGACATGGGAGAGCCGAGGTATGGAAGTAAGGCTTTGGCCACCGGAAGTCGAAGATCTTGATCGTGGCCCCAGAGTTACCAGCACCGGCAACGAAGCGTTCGTTGCCGTATGTGAGGATGGCTTCGACATGGTCCCACGGCTGAATATTATCCTGATAGATGGCGTCGTAGGGCGAGCATGTCCTTAAGTCTTGAAGGCGACAGGTACCGTCCTTCCACCCTGAAAGAAGCAGTGTCGTCCCGCCCGACTTCTGTTGGTTCGCATTGGCAAAAACGGGCGAAAGCGAGTTCGCGCAGATATCCGCATCAGGAATACTCAACCCACCCAACCCCCCCGAGGTAATGATGCTCTTGGCCGTAGTATGGTGCGTCCATCCCGACTCCGTGATCGAAAGGTATTGCAGCCGTTCACTACACCCCTTCAGAGCCAAAGCCATCACGTTCCCCTGCCCACCCATCCACTTTGCACTGCACAACTGAGCCGTGCTGCTGTCCAACACACTCCTCTGTAAATCGTAAATCACCACCGGCGACACCTCCCCGTCCTCCTCTACCTCCTCTTCCCCGTCCGGCAAAGCATAAACCCCCACCGTCTTCTTCGTCGCCGCCGCCACCAAACTCCTGCCGCCCGGAGCATCATACAGCACATCCACGCTATTAATCGTATCCTGCACGAAGCTTTCCAAGCTTTTCCCTTCCTCTCTCTCTCTTGGCCTAAACCTCACAATCCTCTTCCCGAACCTCTCCCCCTCCGCCTCGACCAAGGCCAAGTCACCATTATCTCTCCCCACCACCACCGCCTTTCCGTATCCCCTTCTACTTCCGCTTCCGTTTCCATATCCCTTTCCATTTAGTTGTTCCCCCTTTCCCTCCTTTTCTTCTTCCTCCCCTGAATCCCTTGGAAAAAGAGGAAGGGGCACATCACCCCTCACAACCTGCAAAGCCCTAACATCATCATACCCCTTCCTAAACCCCTCCTCCTGCCCACTGGCTTTAAACCAACTAAACCTGGGCGCGCTCTTACCAGTACTCTTCTTCTGTCCACCTCCCCAGTCTCTTCGTCGCGCTACCAAGTCTTCGCCCGCTCCCCATACAAGTAATTCCCTTCCTGTGGCAAAATCAAAATGCGTGTCGACTACTGATTGGAAGATGTTCCCCCTTTGTGACTGTCCCCCCTGTTGGTTCTGGTTTTGCCCGCCACGGGTACGCAGTTGGTGGGTATCGGAAGAAGAAGATGGGTAGATAGCGCAAAAATTCAGCGAACGTTTATCCCAGCAGCGGCTTTGCCAGGTTAAACTCTCTGCTACTTCTTGCCATCCATATCGACTCTGTTCTTTAGATGAGGCAGGGGCAGGGATGGACTGCACAAGCGAGGGAAACCTAGCAATCACAAACGCCCTCCACCCCTCGGATGTCACGAGCTGCCGCAGACGGCGGCAGGTGAGGCCGAGGTGAGAAACATCGGAGGCGGTCGGGAGAGAGGAGAGGATTAGGAGGAGGATTTCGTGGGGGAGGTCTGCTAAGTTGAGGTCGGGCGCGTGAACCGCCGTGTGGGTGTTGGATGATGGGGCTGTCATTGTTGCCCGTTCGCCCGTGTAGGTTTGTTGGTTTCCTTATTGTGGGTTCATAGATGGAAGTGTCTGAAGTTGACAACGAAAACCAAGATAGAGAGGGTGGATGGGGAAGTGAGGATGAATGGGAAAGAAGAAGGAAAAGAAAAATGTTTCGGGTAGGTAGGTTGGTGAGAAAGTGAAAGATTCAGATATAAGAAGAATAAGATAAGTAAGTATTTTACCCTTGTTTCATCGCTCCCGTCCCGTCATGATCTGCTGGGAGAAGAAATACTCAATGACGTCGATTATTGTATGCGAAAGAGAGATCCGGATGGGTAAAATACTGTATCACCGTATGTATCTAGGAGGCTACCTTAGGCAGCAGTGCCGCTCATGTCCAATGATTTACTACCTACTTCTATGATTAAAAGAAACAAGGTGAGTAATTAGAGTCAGATTCTAGTTGTCGACTCATCAAGAAATCCTGCCTAATTCACAATTTTTGCAATGAGGCAGTGTACAGTAAGCTCAGCTGTGACGTGGTGTGTGCCCTGGTGTTGGTTGGTTCCATGCTGTGGATGAAGAGACTTGGGCGCTAACGACCGTTATTGGATGTTAGTTTCGGAAGCCTCGCTTGTACAGAAAATGGGATTTAAAGCCAGCAATAAGCTCCATTATCTGTAGCCAGATTCTTTTTTCTACAGGGACAGCTACATCAACATTTCACACTTGTAGTGTAGAGCACTTTGCTTGGGACGTATTTCGGAACAGTTTTATGATTATCTACTTCTTCAAGACCAGGTACCAACGAACGAGATGTAGATACATTCTTAATGATTACGGTTCTCTCGTTCACTCCATTGTCCAACCAAAGGCATCTTGCCCAACCGGTAGATACATCATCATGCTCGTCCTCACCAGCAAACACCCGAAGCAAGCAAAACATCTGGATACCGCTAAAATTTCAAATACCACGAATAAACTAGACTCACTCAAAAGACACTATTTTACTTTGTACTCTTTTCTCGCTTCGCCTTCCAGTTATCATCTCTCCCACCGTAACAAACCACCATTCAGAACTCTCATCTATCCTAGCCCTCAACCCCCAACCGAAGCAACAATCAACACATCCCCTCAAGCGCCATACCCCTCATATACCTCCCCCTCACATCCTCCGGCAACAGCCCGAACAACCGCGGATCAGCACCCGTGCCTCCCATCTCGCTCTGGCCATTCACCCGTCCCTTGATGAGCTCCTCCGCCATATCCGCCACGGCCGCCTCCCTCTTGACATCACTCGCGCCCGTCGCACCAGGGACATGTCTGAGCCTCTCACCCAGAGCAACCAGTCCATCAACCAACAACCTATCCAGCCTCTTCTCTTCCTCCTCGTCTTCTCCAGAAGCAGCCAATTGATTCCTCAACGCTGCGACCTTAAGCGGATAAAGCAAGTAAACCGCCGCTCCACCACGTTCCCACTCCTGAACAGACCCCAGCTTGCCCTTAACCTTGAACAACAGCTGCGCGAACTTAACCAACCTCTTCCAGTCGCGCTCGATGACAAGGTCGGGACCGACGCGCTCCACGAAGGCGGTGTTGGCCTCCTTGTAGTTGCCCGCCCAGACGAGAGCGAGGAACTCCTGGCGGTGGTCCTCCTTGGCGCGGAAGTCGAGCGCCTTGGCTTCCCAGACCCAGGACTCGGTGATGCCGAAGCGGCGGAGAGCCGAGAAGGGGGACTTGGCTTCGTGGAAGGAGCCGATGAGGTGGGCGTGACGGCCGAGGTGATCGCGGATGGCGGTCTCGCGCGCGACGGGGTCGGAGAGCGTGAGAAGGACGAAAGTGGCCGGGACCCAGTGGCCTTGGGCGGTGAGCGAGGAGGCGAAGGAGACCGAGGCCTGGTCGAGCTTTTCCTCGGCGTCGTGGCCGAAGGAGATGAGATGAGTGAAGTAGATAGAGCGGGTAAGGAGCCAGCCGAGACGGTCGGATTCAGTCCAGTTGAAATCGCGGGTAGCAAAGGTCTTAAGGAGAGTCCACAGGGGGCTCTCGGGTTCGGGCTCCTTGTCTTGCTCGATGTCGTCTTGGAAAGAGTTAATAGCCTTTGCCATGTCGAACTCGCCATCAGCAGTCTTGCTGTTGTAGAAGAGACGCAGACCGAAGGATTGCATCCAGGAGAGGTTGAAGCGCTCGGCGATCATGAAAGAGGAAGCACGGTTCTCGATAGGAGCGTTCTTAACACCAGCGCAAACGCAGGCATTGCCAGAGAGAAGCTCGTAGAGAGCACGGATAGGCTCAGACATCTCAGACAAGACGTTCGAGTCCTTCCAGTCTTCCAACTGGGTCTTGATGTCCTTGCTCTGGGAACCGATGCTGGACACAAGAGTAGCGAGGCGGAAGTCCTTGCCGCCAATCAACTGGTCGCAGGCATCAGAGACGCGGTTACCGGCGAGAAGGATGATAGCCTTCTCCTCCGGAGTAGACGCCTCCTTAAGCAAGCGGTCAGTATCCACAGCGACCAACTTCTTCCAGAAAGCGGGAAGCTCAGCCTCGTCATTAGCAAGAAGGAAAGCCAAATCCCAGACAGAGTCGTTCTCCGTGAGATCCCTAAGTTCATTCAGAGGAACATCGTGGTGGGCGTGAGTGATCTCGATATACTGCTGGAGCTTATGGAGGGCCGACTTGGTCTCCGCGGCAGAGGCAGTACCCTCAACGGGGATAAGGCTAGCCTCGTCATTGGCAGTGGTGATCAAGAGCTCGTTGGGGCCCCAGGTGGCACGAGGAGCAGGGGCGGCGGCTTCGTCGTCAACCTGATTGCGCTTTTGGTACGGCCACTATAAAGCAAGAGAAAGTCTTAGTCTGTATTCATACAACAAATAGTGTAGGCGAATAGAAAGGTAGTAAGGTACAAAATAGCCGTGCAAGAAGCTTTACAAGACACATAGACCAAGCTTGAGCAGCAGCAGCAGCAGACAATACATCAGAAGAGAAAGGAAGCTTGTAAAGGAAAGGAAAGGAGAAACAGGCTAAGCACCAACCTTCAGGAAACCCCCTGATGGAGGGACAGGCTGAGCTGGGCCCCTCGCCTGCTCGAAAAGCGATTTCATCAAGTCAATGCTCGTCGCGAACCCTTGTCCTTCATGCACAACAGGCTCGCGGGGAGCCGGACTTCCGCTCTCTTTGGCCGCCCACGCCTCGCCCGACTCGTTTTGCTCCCGCAGCAAGTTCCGATCTACCGTCCTTGATGCCCGCACGCTCGCCTGCAGAATTTGTGTCCAATCATCGCCACCGGCAACCTCGATCTTAGTAGGGGCTGTCGATCTCTTGGCGGCTCTCAT